GGGGTTGGGAACATAAAGGGTTGATGTCATGCAGATTTTGTTCATGGGGGCTGTGTGAGTTATCAACCATGTCAAGGAACTCGGGCTTGTTGTCTCCTTATAGACCAAATCCATGAGAGCACAGAGAGCAATCCAGCAGCTGCATCAGTGCTTGCTGCTTAGGGATTGCTTGGATGACTGGCACTTACAGGTCAGGGGTCAGTGGTGAGAAGGTGGCCCATGCCCTGTCAAGTGAACTAACTGCTCCCTAGGGAAGAGTTTGGAAGAAGCAAATCAAAGTCATTCAGCAAAGACAGCTATAGCACCACAGGCTGGTGCCCTGCTACTTGCGATTTTAAAAAAACATAAATCAGGTAACTTGTCCTGAAGCAGAACAGACTTAGGCTTGAATTGAGGAGCAGCTAACACCTACCCAGTATGGAAAAATCACTTGCAATTTAAATTCTGATCAACAACTTTCTTTCCACCTTTCTGTTTATCTCTGTGTGCCACTTTCCCCAAATGTACTCAAGAAGGCTGGTTGGGAAAAACTACGATGACTGTCAAAACTAAGGAGAGGACACTTAAAAGGTCATTTGTATAAAGTTTGAGAGCATTGACATATGTGCTTTTGTATCTGGCAGACATACACACATAAACAAGATGGGAATTATCTTAGAACACGGACAAACCCCTTGTATGAAAGCACAGAAGAGTAATTTCTAATTAGTCATTTGGAGAGATCCAGACGTTAGAAAGAAGAGGTTTACGAACATGGATCATTGAGGGACCGTTTCTCATAATTTGTGTGGGAACTTTATTGGTCACGTGGATTAATCCTAAAGTTTAAGTTAGTAGAGAGGAAACATCATGATTCCAAATAACCCTATTCTACCATATATTACATATCATATTATGCACATTATTCTTGGTGTTAGAGAATGAAGTAGGTTGAAGTGAAAATTTGCTGTAATCACTTTTTGGTGCTGAGACATGCTTCTAGGCTCAAGGTCAGGCAGAAACTGTCTTTACTATATTAGCCACAAATCTTTAGTATAATTCGTGTTGTAGAACAGCAACCAATGGCTTGCGTTATGAGATGGAAGTCCTGGGGACAAATGCCAGCTCCATCTAGGGTAACTGTGCAGGACACTCCTCTACCTATGAACACCAAGGAGAACAAGAGTGCCACAATTATTACGTCGACCATTAGAATGATGATATAACAGATCCTCATCTTGGATAGCAAGTGGACTATTTGATCATCTTGATTCTTGGTTTCTCCTATCTTTTCATATCTTTACTTTTCTTTGAAAAAAAAAATGATCTTAGTGAAGAGTGAGTGGTGATGAGCGGCAAACGGATCACGAATACAGTGCTCTATTCAGAGTTACAGTGGTTTCCAAAAATGAAATACTGTAGCTGGGTTTCTGGTGCCTTTGTAGGAACTGATTGTTTTAAAATATGCTCAATTGCCAACATTTCCATGACTTACGACAGCCTGAATACTTGATATTTTGTTCCAGGAAACAAATGCAAGTCTCTTTCCTTTTTTAAAGTGCCATGGTATCGCTATCCTACTCATAACACTTGGGATTTACTTTAAGAGATATGACTTTTTAATATTTGAGTTTTAAAAGGCATCTGGCCCTTATTTAACCATCACATTCACATCCAATTCCTGCAGGCATGGTTTTGTTGCTTGAGCTTGGCTTGATGCCCTCTGCAGAAAGTCTTGGCTTTAATGAATGTTAACTTCACTCAAACTGCTCCCTCCTGCCCTCCACCAGATGACAACACAGAGAAAGTTTCACCTTGGATTTCAAATAGCAAGATAAAAATAATACATTGCTAGAAAATTAGCTTTCTGCGGGGGCCAGGGCTATGGCATATTCAACTTGATGCCCTTCAATCATTTGCAGAAGTGTTTATGTACTATGAAATGTTCAGCCAGAGCATACAGGAAACTGTAAAATATTTTATGAGATGTATATACAGTTGATGGTAGAATTTAAATGCAACCTGGGAAGGTTTTATCTAAATTCTAGGAGGTGAGATGAGAGAATATACTCACTGTAATGACTCAGTTTTACGTGAGGGGGTTACATGAACTGGAAAGCAAGGCCTGATTTGGGAACTGTAAAAAATTTTATAAAATTAAACTTTGTAACTTCCAGACAAGTAAACGAGTTTTCTTTCAGATCAGGATCACTAGTTATGTGTATTTGTCTTCTACATGGGAAAAGCACTAAACATGGGTTGTTTATTATTTTGTAAAAACAAACACCAAACAGTAATAAATGAAAAGCTGTCCTCACACAGTAATTTTATACATCAGTTAAAGGAATACTTGTGTTTCTGATGGATTTCAAACTCCTGGCTCTAAAATTGGCATGTTATTTTTGAATCGCACTATTACAATATATGGAGGCAAGAAGGTTAACGACATAACATTAAATAAATATGTTCAAAATGTTCTATTCCAAATTTAGTTGAAGGGAGAAATATTTATATTTCTTTGCCTGAAATCTAGGTGGCAACCTCAATTTCTCCAAAAAACAAAAGAGAGAGAGAAAGAAAGAGATCATTTTTCTATTTGTTGACCTATTTATTTCCAAATTCAATACTAAAACACAGTGGAGAAAAAAAATAGAAGGCATTTTTGTGTATTCACATTCGATTTACATTTGAGTCTGGTGTGTTAAGGAAATATGGACTACTTAAATCACATAACAAACCCATATGAGATTTCAATAAATAGCAACGCATGCTTTAGGATGTATCCATGGTTAATGTTACTGAGAGATAAATTTACATTGTGGTCCAGGAGAAACATGCCTTGAACTCCCTACCCATCTTGGCAATATTCTTATGCAGACTCAGTCTAGTGCTGAGCACAACACTGACCAGAACTAAGGACCATGATTTCTCATCTCTGGTCTGTCACCCCCATTACTGGATCTTGGGAAAGTCCATGTCCACCACTGAGCCACGATTTTTCCATCTGTAAAACCAATGCCAGTCCTTGCTGATCTCCAACACCGTGTGCTCTCACATAGGATTCTACAACATTTTAATTTGAGACTATAACTTACTGAGTCACATTTTCTGAAACTTTCCTAGCATTTTTTCCCCCTGTGTACTCACTGTTTGAGGAAATTCTATTTCACCTTAAATTTAGTCAGAGAGAGAGAGGAAAAAAAAAAAGAGTCAGAGAAAGAACCTAAGTGTAGAAATGTGGGGGAAAAAAAGAATTAAAAATATTAACACTGAGCAATTAAAGGGATATCTAGGCTGGTTCAGGACAGACATAAATGACCTTGTTTTATTCTAAATTCAGCTCATTGGCTTATGATGAAAAGTGAAAGGTTATTATATGAACTTACTGGGTAAAACCAGATTTTATAAATAATTACCTGTCAGGCTGTTCAAGATAGACAAACATAGAGCAGACCAAAAACAACACAGACTTGTCATATTTCTGAGAGAAATGTACATTGAGTCTTCCTTCTCTGGGACTATAAGATCAGGTATAATAAAATGAAGGGGGAAAACTAAACCCTACATTTTCTGCCTTATACATACTTTAAAATGTATAATGTGGGAGAGGAGGAATTTTGATTTGAAAAATTAGTCCCTGAAAATTTTATACCATCTATAAGCCTGGCAGATCGAAACCAAATACAATAAATGCTGTCATTTTAAAAGTTAGGTTGTTTACTGAAAGCTTATAATTTTCCATGATTAGGGACGCCAAGGAAAATAAGAATGATGATAAAAAGAAAAGTTTAATCATACATTTCAACAAGCACAGATGGAACATCAAAACCTTCTGGAAATTTTTTTTGATATTCTATAGCTGCAGTTTTTTGGTCAAAGACAAAATTTTTTTTTTTTCCTAAAAATCCCAGCACAGAACAGGTAAATGACAGTTAACACATGTGTGAATAGCATGGCATAATCATATTAACAGAGACAATGACTTGGTCACAAGAAAAACATTTTTCATGTGTCTCATTTATTTTTATTAATTCTTTATAAAGGTTGTTTCATGATGTGTAAAAACCAGAAAAAAAGAGTAAAACTACACAAAACCATAGAATGCAAGAAACTTTTTTTTTTTTTTTGCATTTTGATTTATTCTCAAGGCTTACAGCTCCTTATTTACTGTAGAAAATGCTGAGGTGCTAGACAAGACACAATGCTGCCCCCACTCCCCCACTCCCCTGTTCCAGCTGGTTTCTAGTGCAGCTATGGGAGTTTGGAAGGAAGCTCTCACTCTGCCCCTTCCTGAGTCTAGATCCCATTCTGAGGACTCTGCTTGTGAATGGGCTGGGTAAGCAGGACTGGTGGGCATGGGGCTGGAGGAACTGGGATAACAGAGAACAGATCCTGAGGAGGAGCAGATTCTAGGTAGGAGAAACACATACAATAGTTGGATGACCGGAAGTTGGGAGACTGCGGCGTGCAAAGGCTACACATATGGTGGGCCAGGAGGTGGAGAAGGAAGGAGATGGGAATAGAAGTTCATTCAGCCCATCAGACTTTCCATCAGTCTAAGTTTCTAAAAGGAGTGATCTCTAAGAAGTTCATGTACATTTTTTCCCCAATGACTGTCGGAAAGTAGAGTTGGTAGGGTGGTGGGAGGGTAGACTGTCTTTTAGGCTTAGTTTCCTTTGTTCCAAACCTGGGTCCTAAATTGCATAAAATAAAACACAGACTAAACAATAGGGGGGTTGGGGAGGACACTGCTTTCAAGATACGTGAGCCTAGGGCAGCAAACCCATTCCAACTTAAAATTTCAAAATTGTATGATCTGCATTTTTGTCTACCTACACACTATCCCAAACATCCTGCCATTAATTAGCTAACCAGCCCATCTAGTAAACAAGACAAAAGGTTGAGGGGGCTGGAAAAGAGGAGTCAGTCAGTTGATAGTCACAACAAACCAGCCCACTCCCTAGGATACCAAGAAGGCAAACTTGTGTTTTATTTTGTCCAAGGAAGGGGAAAGAAATAACCTTAGTACAACACTGCTTTTCCTGTTGTTGCAGGCACAGTCACAGTTCCATCAGCAGGCTAGAAACGGCATCCCACTCCTGCGGTAGGCACTCTGACAAAGAAAAAGAAATCTGCAGTGAATTATCACATCCAGTCAAAGGGAAAAGAGGCAAAGAGCAAGCAGAGCTTTCTTCCTGTTTTGTATAGTCTGGTGGCTACATCGAACAGAGTGCTTAATCTGAACAGTTCTGGTGGCAAAGCTGTGGCAACCATTCAGTGTACTAAAAAGTTAATGTGGTTAACAAGTGGTTAGTGATCCTATTTTTGGGAAGTGGGAGATACACAAAATAAGACATTTATTTTGTTAATTGATTGGGCTTGGTCAGGCCAAAGAGATGTTGTGTTGAATCTGCTTGTCTTTTACAAACATATGTTCTCCATTCGACATGCTCAAGAATCATTTCTAACTAAGTAGCCTAATAGTCTATAAATTACTGACTCATTACAGCCGTCCAAGGCTTAATTTATAGTCTGAGTGAAAAGGTATGAGAACAGACACCAACTGAGGCCTTTCCTTCCCCTAAAATGTGGTCTCAGAGGATTTCCACACATGATAGAGGACTCACAGCTTACATGATCTTACATATGTGTGTGTGTGTGGATATGTATGGTGGGGAAATGTTCCTATAAAAGAAAATGGGAAAGCAGATACTAATTGCAATATTATAACATATTCCAATAGAGAAAGCAAAATTGCTTGTTCTTCATCCCAAGAGATGTATTTTGCATTTCAGCATTGGAAGACCTGGACCACACAGGACCTTTGTGCCTTGTCCTGGATATTATTTTGAGGACAGAGTGGAGTGGAACTAAAATTCAGTTTTCAGTTGTAAAATTCTCCCTTTACTGACATATTTTTTATTATTTAAATTAGTAACAGTCACATTATGAGAACAAATGACCCTCAATTAGATGGAATTTTTCAATAACATTTTCAGGAAAAAAAGGAGAAAGTTATAATATCTTGTATTAGGAAATTTTTCTCTCCTGAAACTAGTAACTTTGGGGCTGTTCCTCAGTTTCCACTTTTAGCCCAACAAATTTACCGTCAATAGCCAGATCACAGGAAATACAGAATGACCTCTTAAAATCAAGATACCGCTATGGGGGGACAGAAGAGTCTTAATTTTTAAAAATGATTACACTACATTTGCAATTACACAAAAAACAGAAAGTGAACCTAACCTTTTGAGAAAGACTTCCTTTAACACAAGGTGGAACACACACTTTTCTGGATAACCTTTTTTTAAATATTGAACTCTAGAATGGATAACCTTTTGTTAGTCATAAAACTCAGTTATCTTGAGACCCTTCTTTGAAAGCGCCTACCTACAGAGGATTTACTGTGGCTGTCAGGCCTTGCAAGCCTGGCTAGGATTTCATCTACGTGGTCATGCTGTTACACAAGCCCACTCTGGATCAGCATAGCTAGGATGGGGAAACAGGGGCACATTCCGAGTTTCATTCCTTGGCCAGCTCTCCATGAGTTTGTTCCTAATCATCGGGCTATCTATGCTGCAGTACATTTCTGGAGTACAGCAAAAAGTCCTCCTACTGGGGACTAGACAATTCCAATTCTCCTTCCTCAGATGCTGCCTTGGGGAGCATCACTACACAACATCCTCAGACAGCCACAAATAACTCGTCAGAATGGATGGGGTGTCTTCCCCTATCTGCAGGCAGAGCCGCCTCAGACTGTGAAGAGCCCTTACCACCTTGACTGCCTTGCAGAGGATTAAGCCAAAGTAACACTTTCAGCTTTTTTGACCCTAATATTTTCAGTTTGACAGCAACAGTGTCAACCTTTAATGTAACACCATATTTAAAGCACACCAATGGTTTTTACATGTAGATAAATCAGCTCTGGGAGTACAGCTGGGTTTCTCTAAAAAGCGAGTGGTGGAAGTGCTTCAGCAAGCAGGTTCTGGCTTAGGGGTTTGAGTCTTGGCTGCGCTTACCTGCAAAGTAACCAGGCTTAACCTTTCTGGGGTGGACAATATGGTTCCCTCGGGTACTGAAAAGGTCATGTTGGAAACATCAGCTCACTTTCATAGTTGACTTACCATTGTGTTTTGCAAACAACTGAAATCTGACTGGCTTACTTAATAACATAGATTTTCACGTAGTCAAATCTAATGAGAAAACCAAAGTTGAGAGCTGACCTAGATTTTTTGCAATGAGTTATTTCTATTCTAATTCTAAAATAAAGAAGGAATAATCATGTGTAATTAGTAAAGTGTAATTACAGCAAAGCAATCCCCTAGGGTCCTCCACCATGACTCACTGCTTTCCTTTTGATGTACAAAGGATGTAAACTGCCTGTGTAGGGCCATGATGGGAACCTCCCACATTTGGCATCTGTTCCTGAGTAAGCAACATTCCCAGAAGATGGATGAAGACAACTCATCTTTGTGTCAACTGTGAATTCCTCTATTTGTGTTGAGAACGCTCAAGTTATATTTAAACATGGATTGGCATGAAGGCCTTCCAGAGGCCACATTCTCAGGAAATACTGTGTATCCCACTGGCTTTCTTATGTCAGGTCCCATGAATGGGTCTCAGTTTCTGCATCTTTACAGACACTCCTGGTTAGTAAGAGCGAGTCTCCGACTAGAAACTACCTGGACTTCTACTCGCCAGGAAGAGTTCTGATTTAATCAATATCTCAATCAGACCTGCCCACTAACCAGCTGGACCAGGTACTACTGAAACTTTATTCCGACGATCTGATGAAGGTCTCTTCTCAACCATTAGTGCTTTTGTGAATCTGATGAAAAGTTTACATATTTTAACACCTCTCAAAGTTGGCACCAAAAATGACATTTAATATTCTTTTAAGGGACAACTGTAGTTTCTAGCTTTTTGGTTTTTGTTTTCAATTGTAAGTCACATCAGCTCTTGAGTTTTTAAAATTGTGATTTAGAAAATAGTTATCTATTGAAAAGGTAGAGTGATGGGGATGGGGGAAGAGAACAAGGTCTTCTATTTGCTGGTTTACTCCCCAGATAACCACAAGAGCTTGGGATGAGCCAGGCTGAGGGCCAGGAACTCCATCAGGGTCTCCCGTGTGGACAGTAGGGATCCACGTTTGGGCAATTATCTGCTGCTTCTTAGATGTGTTGGTAGGAGCTGGATTGGAAACAGAGGTGGGAGTTGATCTCAGACACCCTGATATGGGATGTAGGCAATTTCAACCAACGGCAGATTAAACAGTGGTTTAATCCACTGTGCCACAAGCCTGCTTCTAAAATTATTTTTCTCTTTTGGTTATCTGTATATGGATAAGAAATGACCAGAATCCCCAAGTGGCTTACTTCTCTTTTTTTTTTTTACTAGGTCAATATCAATTGGTACATTTTGAAGAATACAAACTAATATTAAGAAGCCAAAGATGAACATTTATCTCGTGTAAAGGAAGATAAATATGTCAGAAAACTTATCCTGTAGTTATAACTTTTGTGCCTTTTGAACTAATAAAGCATAAACTATTGGTAATTTCTCCCCCCTGGTTCAGACATAGTTTTTAATTCTCATTAATCACTTTCCTTATTATTTTCTGCTTTCTCAAATTTAGATAAAACATAGTAAGAATTTCACTGTAGCAGGTTCCAGAAAATTCTCTGGTAAATACTTCATTTCTCAAAGACTTTATAAGGAGGATTTCGATTCTACTGTCTGAATTCCTACAAACTTGCTGATTTTAGTCAATTTTTACTGAGTCCTTCCTTCAACGCTTGGTGGCACATGGGATAGCAAGACAGGTCACACGGTCCTTGATGTTCCTGAATTTCCAGTCTAATGTTGACATTTTGAATTACCACAAGGAAAATGGATTGAGAGGTCGTTCCCAAGGAGGCAGAAAACAAAGCGGCCTTTGGTCTGCTTTTTTACTTTTAGTCACAATATTTAATTTCAAATAACATTTTTAAGAGGCATGAGATTTATGTATTTCTCAAAATAGGGAGGGGCAAAGATTAAAAAAATGCTGAGATGTGTGGTTTTATGGTTTACGAAGTGCCTTCGAGTCCATATCTAATTTGAGCCCTACCACAACTAGTAAGAAAAGTCTCATGTTCTCGTTTTTTAAAGTGACATGACTAGTCAGTGGTAGATTCAGGATTTAAAACGCAGGGCCTGTGTTCTTTTCTTTCTACCACATTGTCTTAAACAAAACAACCCCCCTTAAAATATGGCATAATTTACTCCACTCAGGAAGCATGTTTTCCTAGTCTTAACAAGTTCCTTTTTTTGCTAAACATCATATAAAGAGCAAATTAAATTTTTACTTTGAATTTAACTAGATCAGCCTGACACAATACTTCAGAGGCCTGAGATGAACCTTAAGTCAAAATCATTTTCCATTTACAGGTATTCAAAACTGGCCTTAAGCAGAGTATCACAGTGTGGAACACTGTGCGTCAAAATCACCTGGAGAGCTTTAAAAGCAAAAGAAACTCCAGCTTCAGTCCTTGAAAGTCAATTGGTCTTTGTGGACTCAGGTTTTGGCAGGTTTTAGAAGCACCTATAAAGAATGGACGAGTATTTCATTAATGGGATCTCACAATCGATTTGTCAATAAATGGAATGGTTTCAGAGTGTGTCCTGTCTATGTAGTAAACAGTAATTCCTAATGGAAAGTCTAATGTTGGCATTAATGAAAGCAATGTAGAAGACACAGAAATTATGGTTTTGAGATTGCAGTTTTTACACAAGCAGCAGATGGGTCAGTCTCAGGCTCCTCCCTGCAGGCTTCCTTTTTAGCTGCTGGGATGTCGCTGCTGAGGCACAGAGCCACAAGTGACCATCATAAGCAGAAAGAAACCTGGAAATTGAGTCTGCTCATTCAAACTGAATGAACCTTCTGCTAGAATGCAGAATCAAGGAACACTGGAACTCTGAAATCAGAATTTATGAACTCTTCTACTCCAATTCTTCATTGAACAGATAAAGAAATGGCGATCCAGACTCAGTGATGGTCACAGGAGGAGAACCAAGGACTCTGCATCCGGTTTGGGGCTCTTATTGGGTGGTTCTAATTCTTCCCAAAGCTCT